GATCCATTTCTCAGGCCTGGGCATGGCACATCTAGGGCCGTGCAGTTTCCCCCCTCGCTCCTTGGGCTCCCTGTTTGACGATCGTCAGTTTCCCTTGTAGCGCCAGAGGGCGCCTCTTAACTTCTAAGTCCCGTCGTGGCTCTCAGCACCCTCCCACGGTTCCCTTGTGAAAAGTAAAAAGTGCTCACTGCAGTCCAGAAGCCTGAGCTGCGATACCTCTCCCTCCACTTAACCTGTCCTCACCTCCTCCCACTCTCCCCCTCTAGTCCTCATGCTTCCTGTGCACAACAGGTGCTCCCACCTCGGCCATTGCATCTGTAATGCCTGTCACCTGGCATGCTTTCCCCCAGATATTCACCTGGCTTCTTCCCTCACCGTCAGGTCACAAACGTCACCTCCTCCGGGAGGCCCTCCCCAACCTATTTCTTTTCTTTTTTTTTTTTTAAAGGTTTCTTTTTTTTTTTAAAGATTTTATTTATTTATTTGACAGAGACAGAGACAGCGAGAGCAGGAACACAAGCAGGGGGAGTGGGAGAGGGAGAAGCAGGCTTCCCGCTGAGCAGGGAGCCTGATGTGGGACTCGATCCCAGGAGTCTGGGATCATGACCTGAGCCGAAGGCAGCCGCTTAACGACTGAGCCACCCAGGCGCCCTCCCCGACCTATTTCAACGGCCTTCCTTTCCCAAGAGACTATCACTTACCAGTTTTATCACCTCCATAGCGTTTACCCCTCTGAAAAGATTTTTTTTTTTTTTTAAGATTTTATTTGGGCGCCTGGGTGGCTCGGTTGGTTGGGCGACTGCCTTCGGCTTGAATCATGAATCTTGGAGTCCCGCATCAGGCTCCCTGCTCGGCGGGGAGTCTGCTTCTCCCTCTGACCCTCCCCCCTCTCATGTGCTCTCTCTCATTCTCTCTCTCTCAGATAAATAAAATCTTTTTAAAAAATTATTTATTTATTTATTTTTTTTTTTTGTAATATTTTTTTTTTAAGGTTTCTTTTTTTTTTTAAAGATTTTATTTATTTATTTGACAGAGAAAGACAGCGAGAGAGGGGACACAAGCAGAGGGAGAACCGGACTCCCTGCTGAGCAAGGAGCCCAATGTGGGACTCCATCCCAGGACTCTGGGATCATGACCTGAGCCAAAGGCAGACGCTTAACGACTGAGCGACCCAGGCGCCCGTGAAAAGATTTAATTACTGTCTTCTCCCGACCTAAATGGTGGGGGTCCTGCAGCGGGAACCACCTGGCTGGCTCGCTCTCCAGTTGCGCGCCTAGTACACAGAGGGTGCTCAGTAAATGTTCGAAGGCAGGCATCTGTAAGTGCCTCCTCCGACCTCGACTCTCGCCTCCCAGGCTCGATCACGTGGCGGCTGCAGCTCGCAGCGTGTTTTGTCCTCGCCGTGGCATTTGCTGTGCCAGGTTTGGTTCAATCTGAGCCAGAACGTGATTCCCTCTCACCCACCCCATTTCCCCGTTTATTTTCTTGACGGTGCTTAACGCTATCTAAAATTATGTAGATGCCTGAATGCGCGCTCCGCAGCGCCGGGACAGGTTCCAGCACACAGCGGGCGAGTGAATGAAACAAAGCGCTCTGCACATACTAAGAGCTAATAAATGCTTATCGCGTGACTGAATGGTGAAACTCCGGCCTGGACTGCCCCAGCCCTGCCTCCCTTCCTCCCAGAGGTGCCGACCGCCCGGGGCATACCGCGCTACCCTGCCCCTGATCTTTCTCCCGCGGGTCAGTTAAACCGGCTCCCTTTCCCGCCCGCCTGGCGAGTTTGAAAACCGAAAACCCCGCCATTGCCGGCGGTCCACCGGTCGCCGCGGCTCGGCCAATCAGGAGCGGCACCGCCCATGCCGGAGCGTAAAACTCCCCCGGCGACGCGTGGTCATTGGCTGCGCTGGCCGCGTGGGCGGGGCGCCGCCGGGTCGCGCGCCGGGCAATGCGGCTGGGCGACAGTGTAGCGAGTTCATAAGAAAACAAATCCGCAGCGTTCGGGGCGGGGCCTCAAGCGCGCTGGCACCGCCCCCTGACGGCCAGCTTGGCAGCGGCGGCGACGCCGCCTCAGACCAGACGTCGAGGAGGAGGGAGGGTGAGTTGGGGGGAGACCCGGCCCCCAAGGGGCGGGCGCCGGGCTGGGCCGTGCGGGCGGCGGAGGGTTGGGCCGGGCTGCCAGCCCCTGGCGACCCGCTGGCCGACAGGGGGAGGAGCCCCCCGGGAGGGCCGGGGTCGCGCCCGAGAGCCGACTGGTGAGCCGCGCTGGGAGCCTCGCCCGGGCCAGGTGCGCCTCGGAGGGGATCTGCGGGCCGGCTTCGGTGGCCTTCCCCGCACTGACGACGCCGGGGTGGGGCGGGGGGCTTTGCAGGCTGCCGGTGTCGACATGCTGCTGGAGGAGGTCCGCGCCGGCGACCGGCTAAGCGGGGCCGCGGCCCGAGGCGACGTGCAGGAGGTGCGCCGCCTTCTGCACCGCGAGCTGGTGCACCCCGACGCCCTGAACCGCTTCGGCAAGACTGCGCTGCAGGTGAGGGCCCGCGGGCGCGGAGCGAGGGCGGGGCTGGGACCCCAGACCCTTTCCCTTACGTTTCCTGGGTCGCGATGGGGTGGCTGACTGGGGGTCCCGTCCTTTTTCCCTGGGCCGATGTTGCTCCCTGATGTCCCTTTTCGTGGGTGGGTGGTGGATGGGGTTAGGTTGGGGGAGGGGAGGACTTTCCATCTTCTCTGGAGGATTTCTTATTCTCTGGGTGCGGAGGATTCAGTTTCCCTGGGGAGGTTCTTATTCCGTGGTGTGAGTTCAGCTTTTTTGGATACTGGTTTCATAGGGATGGCTCTTGTTTCTTGGAGCTTCTGTGGGGGGGGGGGGGAAATCCAATCACTGGAAGGAAGGATTCATGTTTCCAGGGGGTCCCCATTTTCTGGAGGGTTCTCTGAGAGGTACCCAGTTACTTGGGGGAGATCTCCATTCCTGGATTTGTTTGTTCCCCCAGATGCCTGGTATATTAAGGGAAGTCCTAATGGAGGCACAGTTACACATTGCACGGGTCTCCTTATTTCCCGGGGGGGGCATTTTACAAGGGAACCCCATTTCTTAAGGGGGTCAGGTACACTGGGGAGTTATTAATTGGAGAAGGGATTTCAAATTCCCTGGGCATCTCCTTTCCCTTCAGTCGGCTGTCAAGTTCTTTGGGGGCATTTTTCATTCTATGAGGCCTATTTCCTGGGGGGTTCCATATTTCCTAATGATTTCCCCTATGGGATGGGGCGTGTCTCTGCTTCCTTGGGGAAACTTTCCTTGAAAGTTTCCGTGGAGGCTATTCCCTAGACGATTGTCTTATCCTTAGGGGGTGACCAGCTTTTTGGGGGTCCCTCTTCCTAGGAGATGTCTTTCCCTGGGGTATCCAACAGCTGTCTGAGAGCTTGTGTTCCCTGGGTTTTCCCCATTCTTTAGAAGACCTCTAGTGTTCCCTGTTCTTGAATGACCCCTCTCTTCAGTGACTCCCTTTTCCTGGAACCTCTCCCTTGAGGACCTCTTACCCTCTGCCCCCACACAGGTCATGATGTTCGGCAGCCCCACCATTGCGTTGGAGCTCCTCAAGCAAGGTGCCAGCCCCAATGTCCAGGACACCACCGGCACTACTCCAGCCCACGATGCAGCACGCACTGGATTCCTGGACACCCTGAAGGTTTTGGTACAGCATGGTGCTGATGTCAACGCGCCTGATGGCACTGGGGCGCTCCCCATCCATCTGGCAGTGCGAGAGGGCCACACGGCTGTGGTCAGCTTCCTGGCTACAGAGTCTGATCTCCATCACAGGGATGCCAGGGGGCTCACACCCCTGGAGCTGGCGCAGGGGATAGGGGCTCAGGATCTCATGGACATACTGCAGAGGCACACGGTAGTACTGCTGTGACCTGGGGCCACCCACTCCAGCAACCGGACCCAGCAGGGTTGTGTGTCAAAAGAGGAGGGAAGAAACACTTTCTCCCCTCACTTCTGCCCACTGTCGAAAGGGGAGGGGCACCAGTTTGTGGCTTGTTGGTGTTGATTTGCGGGGTGTGTGTGTTTGAGGGACATTTCTCATTTGTTTTTCTCACCACTTTTGAAGTGTTGGGCGGAGAAGGGCTCCTGCAGGCAACAGCCATCTAAACGGTTCAGTTTTCTCTGCGCCTCGGATTGCTGGGGCTGCAGACGCCCAAGGGCAGAGCGTTTAAAGCCCCAGCCCCAGAGTGAGGTCATCACTTCCAGGGCTCCTGGAACCTGGCGACCTTGGCTGGCTGTACCCAGAGAGAGACCTCAAGTGTGCACACTGCTTTCAGGCATGGGGGAGGGGGGAGAGTTTCAAATCAATAAAAGGATAGTATGAGTTCATTCATATTTTGTTGGAAGCTTGTTTTCCAGTCTCTTGTACAGCGTTAAAAAAAGAGATTCTATTTATTAAGCTTTGTGGAAAAAAATTGTTGTGTGATAACTTAATGTTTTTACCCATTAAATTAAGACTTGTGCATGATCACAGAGCTGGTGGCTTCTGATTTTTGAGTCTGCGATGGAGAGCCGCGCGTCCAGGATGTTTGTGGGGGGTGGGAAGGGGGTCGCAGATCGTGGGTGCTTTGGGGGAGGGGAGAGAGTGGTAATTCCCAGGGTGCCAGAGGTGAGTGAGCTGGGTGGGGCAGCGGTTTACGCTGTCGGAACGGAAGGGAGGCAGGAAACCGCGAGTGGAGAAAGGGCCCCCAGATGTCAGCTGGGTGCCGGGAGCCCCGGGCGGGGGGGGGCGGGGGCAGTGGGCGGTGGCTGCAGTCTGACCCGCAGAGGCGTGACCCGCGGGCGGGGATTATGGTCGCACGGCGTAAGGGATCCGGGAAAGCATGGGGACAGGATTAGGTGCGGCCCGCGAGGCTCCTCCTCCTCCAGGGCTCGCCGGGGCCGGGGCGGGGGCCGAGGCGGGGGCCGAGAGTAGCCCCGCCTCCTTCGGGACACTCGCCGCACGCGTGCGCAGTGGGCCGCAGAGTCGCCATGCCGGAACCGCGCGGGTCTTCGCCCCTTCGGGTAAACGCGGCGTTTGCCGCGCGGTACGGCCGCTACCGGGAGCGCGAGGAGCTGCAGCGGCGTGAGTGCGGGGCGCATGCGCGCGGGGCGGCGGCGCGTGCCGGGTAGTCGGGAAGTGGGGGTTTAGCTGGTACTCCACGCTGATCTGGGGGGCTCCCATCTGTGCCCCGCAGTTAAAGATCGCTATGGGGACCGGGACAGCGGCGGCGACTCCAGCTCTGAGTCTGACTCTAGCGACGAGCGCGTGGTGAGCTTTCTCACCCCGGTGCCGTACATTCGGGAAGCATCCAAGCCCCCCACCGCTTCCCGACCCCGATATACAGAGGGCGGCTAACCTCCAACCGCATTTCACCCGACGGGAGTTTCCATCCACCTCTTCCTGGTCCCATGAAGGACACACAGCTCCCTCTCCATCCCCAGGCGGTGGCCAGATGCCCCCCTACTTCCCCTCTCCCGCCACCATCCACCGGCCCATCCTGATGTGTGAGGTGCGACCGCAAGAGTTTAACCATTTGTCAGGGCCGACTCAGTCCCGGAAGTGGAACATCCTTCTGCCACATGGGGCACTCACCTTCTCACATCAGCCCTGATCTTGGGGGCCTCACTGTGCAGCCCGGCCCCTGCTTGCTGTCCCACATATGTCCTTTCTGCTCACCAGCCCCCACGTCAATCCTTTGTCCCCAGGAAGTATCCTCCCCTTGCCCATTACCTTCCTCTATCTCAGATCCTGTACCTCTGTGTGGCCCGCCCCAGTCCGCCCCACGAGGGCCCCTCTTCCTCTGTCACCTGCTTCACATCTTCCCACCGCCCCTCTTACCCACCCTCCATCCCCCAACCTGCCTCTGTCCAGCTGGATCCCTCTCCTTCCTCCTAATGTATGCCCCCCCACCCTAATTTCCACACCCTCTCAGCCCACCTGCTCTGTTACTTAGTGTCCCCCAGCCTCCACCAGGGCTGTCACCATCTCCCTTCTGAAGTCATCCCCGATCCTTCTCATGCCTTAGGAATTTGACCCCCAGCAAGAGCGTGACTTTTATAGGACTCTCTCCTTGTTGAAGAAGAAGGACCCCCGCATTTATCAGAAGGATGCCACCTTCTATCAGAAAGCAGGTCTGAAAAAAGTAAAAAATAATAAAAAAAAGAAAGCAGGTCTGGGGTTGCGCCTCCCTAAAGCCCGGGTTCCTCATTGCCTTACTGGTTTTTGTGACGACGAACCCCTATACCATATATGTTTTATGTTCTATGCCGGAAGTGCTTAGCGGAGCGTTTTAGGTTATTACTTGTTAATAATGACTGTGTGCTTGACCCTGTTCAAAGCATGTGTTACTGAGTGAGCCCAGCCAGCTACTACCATGTAGTACAAGTGTGATATTTGAAATCGTGGTCTGACCCTGGCCCCGCCCGGTGGGATTGTCCACCTGGGGAAGGAAGGGGGTTATGGGTGATGGCGGGTGTCTTCTGGCAACCCGACAGTATCGTCCTCGGAGAGCGAGGAAGCTGAGGAAGCCAAAGAGAAGCAAAAGAAGATACGGCCTATGTACCTGAAGGACTATGAAAGGAAGGTTATCCTGGAGAAAGAAGGGTGAGGAGAGATCCTGACCCCCCCCCCCCGCCCCATCCCTCCCCCAAGCCTTCCCAGGGCAGGCGGATGCATGGGAGTCTTAGAAGAGGTGGGAAAAAGCTGGTGGTGACTCACCAGGATTGAGGGAACCCCAGAGAACAGGAGTGTCCGTGACCCATCTGCACCGCACTGCCCCCCAACTGCTGCTCGTAACAGCTCCCCACCCCGTGGGGACAGACGAGCCGTGGGGAGTCTATTCTGAAGCCCCCATTTGTCCTTACACAGCAAATATGTCGATGAGGAAAATTCAGATGCAGAGACCTCCGATCAGAGATTCCAGGTAGGTGGGGTGGAGGCCCCGGTTGGGGGTCGAGGGGCCTGGGGCTGGGCCTGAGGCCCACGTCGCTCTCTCTGCAGCAGATCTCGTCGCAAAGTTACGTAGAAGAACAGAAACAACTCAAGGAAAGGTGAGCCTGGGCCTACTGAATAGCCAGATGGATCAGATTTGAGCCTGAGTTCAAATCCAGCCCTGTTACTTCATGGCTGTGTGCCCTTGGGCACATCACTTAGTCTTTCTGTGCCTCAGTTTCCCTGTCTGTTAAATGGGGTTGATGACGCCCTCTATGTCACAGCACTGCTCTGAGCTTGTTGAGGAGAGCCCAGGACTTAGTAAACAGGGTTCATCTTGGGACTGTGGGCAGGGACCAGGCTTCGTCTCCTGAGGCGTACTCTCTCACATGGGCAGCTTCCGGGCATTCGTGGAGGACAGCGACGATGAGGACAGTGCCGGGGAAGGTGGCTCTGGGTTGCTGCAGAAACGGGCCAAAACCAGGGAGGAGAAGGTGGGTGCTGGGCCTGGCTGGCTGGGGGTTGGTGGCAGGAAGGGGTCCCCAGACCCTCAGTGCTGGCCTACCCGCAGGCCCAGGAGGATGCGGACTACGTGGAGTGGCTGAAGGGGCAGAGGGAGATTCACAACCCTGACACCCTGAAGGAACTGGTGAGTTCTCAGGTCTGGTCCGTCTCCAGGCTTTTTCTGGAAACCAGTCCTTGAGGGAGTAGCCAAGAGCCCCTAGTCTGAAGACGGGGTGTGCCCCTCTCTGGGTGCCAGTTTCTACTCCTGTAAAGTGGAAATTGTCCCCCCTACTTTATAGGCTGGCTGTGAAGTTTCAGTTACTTAAGTCCACATGGAGCCAAGCCCACCCTCCTTCCCTGCCCACAAGTCCCTGACCTGGGTCCTGTTCCCCACCCCCCCACCCCCAGACCCACCTCAAGGAGTATTGGAACAACCCAGAGCTGGATGAAGGAGAGCAGTTCCTGCGGGATTATATCCTCAACAAACGCTATGTGGAGGAGGAGGAAGGCGAGGAAGAGGAGGCAGAGGAGGAGGAAGGGTGAGCAACCATGTCCCCCAGGGGCCTGGAGCCAGTGCCAGAAGGCAAAGGGCACCAGCTGTTTACTTTTTCACACAGATGGTAGTGGAGTTACTGTTCTGTGAGGAGGACCTGCGGCGTGTGGGCTCTGGAGCTAGGTGGCCCTGTCACTGGATTTTGTGCCTCAGTTTCCCTATCTGTAAAATGGGGGTGCCTCCAAAGTAGGGCTCTTGTGAGGATTCAGGGCGTTACTGCAGCTGGTACACAGGAGTGCAGGGGCTCGGCTGACCCCCAGCCCTGTCCCATTTTTGTCCCTCAGGGGCCCCAGCCTCCCGGTCCAGCTAGCCGTGGACGATTCCTCAGATGAGGGGGAGCTGTTTCTGAAGAAGCAGGAGGACTTTGAGCACAAGTACAACTTCCGCTTCGAGGAGCCGGACTCGGCCTTGGTGCGGGACCCGGGGCTGGGGCTTGGGGGGATAGGGGGGACCTGGGCCTTGGGCCCGGGCCGGGAGAGCCCAGAATCACCTCTGTGGCCCTTCTGGTCTCCCCTGCTGCCCACAGGTCAAGACCTACCCTCGAAGCATCGCGTCCTCTGTGCGCCGCAAAGATGAGCGCAGGAAGGAGAGGAGAGAGGAGACACGGGAGCGAAAGAGGAGGGTGAGCGTGGGGCTGCCGGGCTGGGGAGGGCTGCCCACCCTGTGGGGAGAGCTCATGCCCTCCCTCTCCCCCGGGCCTGCCACCCGCAGGAGAAAGTGAAGAAGCAGGAAGAGCTCAAGCAGCTGAAGAACCTGAAAAGGAAGGAGATTCTGGCCAGGCTGGAGAGGCTGCGGCAGGTCACAGGCAACGAGACACTGGGCTTTGAGGAGCGGGACCTCGAGGACGACTTTGACCCCACCCGGCACGACCAGCTCATGCAGGTGCGGCCCCTGCGCCCCACCCCAGCCATGCAGTGCTGCTTGGGACAAGGCTCTGGAATCCGTGCTTGTTTCCTGGCTGTGTGGCCTCAGAGAAGTGACTTGCCGTCTCTGAGCGTGTGTCCCTTTCTCTCTGTAAAGTGGGTTCAACCATATTGTGTACCTCAGGGCCGGTGTAAGGATAGCCTGAGAGAAGTACACATAAAAACTGGTAACGCTCAGGGAACAGGGAGTGGCTGTGGGTCCTTGGAACTTGTTGCCATTAATGTTTATTGTTGGTTTGAGGGGACATAGCATCCGGCCACAGAAACAGGCAATAGGGCTGTATGGGGAAAGGCAGCGGGGACCCTGTGAACCCCAAAGAGACCCCTGACCAAGCCTACGAGCTCAGGGGAGGGGACTGAGGATGCGTAGGCTTCAGTTTCTCCATAAATGGAGGTAGTTTCTGTCTCTTGGGGGTGCTTGTGAGAATGCAGGGAGATGCAGCCCAGCATTGGGCATACAGTAGGTGCTTAATAAATGACATGATTTGCAATATCTGCCTTTGCCAGGCACCCACCGGGTGCTGGGGTTCCATCAAGGGCCCAGCAGTTTCAGCCCTCTTGGAGCTCATGGAATGGCAAGAACCAGCCTCGTAGGCACTGAGCACCAGGCCACAGAGCAGTCGGTCCCTGCCCTCCCAGAGCTCCCAGTCTAAACTATACAGTTATAACCCCCAGCGATCAGAGTGGTGGGGGGGACGTGCAGGGGGAGGTGGGGTCTTAGAGGAGTCCCGGGTCGACTTTGTCGGGCATGGTGGTGAGTGGGTCAGGGCAGGCAGCTGAGGCCTGAAGAGCAGTTAGGCAGCCAAGGAGGGAGGGAGCGCACCAGGCGGGGGGCACCGCAGGGGCAAAGGCCTGTGGGAGGGAAAGAACGGCGGCTCTGTGGAACAGAATGGTGCCCAGTGCGGCAGGGGGCACTGGGGCATGGAGGGGCCTGGTCACACAGGGTTCCCCTCACGTCAGCAGCTAGGTCTGGAGGGTGCTGGGAGCCACGTCAGGTGTAGGAGTACCACTGTGGCGGGGACTGGGCCTTGCTGATCGTCCGGGCCCTGACCCTGCAGAGGTGTTTTGGGGACGAGTACTATGGCACCGTGGAGGAGGAGAAGCCGCACTTTGAGGAAGAGGAAGGGCTTGAAGGTGAGGTCCCCGGGGGCACCAGCCTGGGGAAGCTGCTGGGTCTGAAGTCCGAAGTTCCACCCTGACCCCCTACCTCTGTGGCCTCTGCAACCAGATGACTGGAACTGGGACACGTGGGCTGGGCCTGAGCAGGGTGGAGCTTGGAATCAGCAGGAGCTGCACTGCGAGGACCCCGACTTCAATGTAGGTGCCATGGGCAGAGGGGGGACCTGGGGGGGTACACGGGGCCGCCCCTCCCCGCCGACGGCTGGCCTGACCTTGGCATCTCGACAGATGGACGCGGACTACGACCCCAGCCAGCCGCGGAAAAAGCGGCGCGAGGCCCCCCTGACGGGCAAGAAGAAGCGCAAGTCACCCTTCGCCGCGGCTGTGGGGCAGGAAAAGCCGGTGTTCGACCCTGGTGAGGCCCGGGCTGGTGGCGGTGGGCGGGTAGGGGCTCCGCGGGGCCCGGCGCACCCTGGCAGCCTGGCTCCCGCCCTGCACAGGAGACAAGACGTTCGAGGAGTACCTGGATGAGTATTACCGGCTGGACTATGAGGACATCATTGACGACCTGCCCTGTCGCTTTAAGTACCGCACGGTGGTTCCCTGCGACTTCGGGCTGAGCACCGAGGAGGTGGGGCCCCACAATGGTGCCCAGCCTGGGGGGGAGGTGCCCCGTGGGCAGGGGGGAGTGTGCAGCCAGCAGATGCTGTGGACCCCCCCCACCCCCGTTCCTTCTCTGGAAAACACCAGTACTGATAACGTTCCTCTGCCTCAGACGGGGGGCTTCCAACAGTGCTTTGCCCTAGAACGCGCCGTAAATAGTACTTTTAAATCTATTAGCTAATATCCGCAGTTGGGTGGCCGTCAGGACTGGGTGGGCTCTGGAAACAGATGGCCCAGATTCGAATCCTGCTGTGGCCACTCACCAGCTGTGACCCAGGACGCTGTGCTTCCATTTCCCCATCTGTAAAATGGGCCTAACCGCAGCCCCCACATCGTGGCTGTGGAGCTTTAGTGAACGTGTGCGGCTCCTGGGGCGGCGCTCGCCCCTCAGCCCTGGGGGCCGTGGGGGGGCTTCACCAGTCATGGCCAGCAAAGTCCACGCTCATGCCCCCTGTACCTTCTGCATTCCCTCAGTCTCCCCGGCAGCCTTTCAGTAGTTTCTAAGGGGCTTGCCCACCTCCTGGTTGAGGAAACTGAGGCCTGCAGCTGGGAGCCTTGGCACCGAGCCCCTTGCCTCTTCTGAGGCTGCTGGGACCGTGGTGCCCGAGTGAGGCTCTGGGACCCCTGGGCCCAAACTGGAATCCGAAATCAGCCACTTCCCGACCACCTGACTAGGGCAAGGAGCGCCTTGCCGAGCCTCAGTTTCCCCGCTGCCAAAAACATCCGGTGGCCTCCACAGAAAGCAGTCCTCTCCTGCTATGGCGACATCCCTGCCGAGCGGTAGTAGCATGACCCGCCTTTGGCCAGCGAGGCGGCTGAAGCTGCGAAAGCCAGCCCCCTGCGCCCCCGACCCAGGGCTCACACGGCAGGACCCCACCCTCCCTTCCTGTGCAGATCCTCGCTGCCGACGACAAGGAGCTGAACCGGTGGTGCTCCCTGAAGAAAACCTGCATGTACAGGTGACAGGGCTGGGCCAGGTGTGCCGGGGCGGGGGGGGGACCTCCCAAAGCTCCCGGCAATAGGCGCCGCCTGTGGGCACCCCCAGGTCAGAGCAGGAGGAACTGCAGGACAAGAGGACGTACAGCCAGAAGGCCCAGAACTCCTGGAAAAAGAGGCAGATCTTTAAGTCACTTTGCCCAGAGAGGTGAGTGTCACCGGCTGGAGGAGGGCGGGCTTCGGAGCCCATTGGGCCTGGGAACGGGGCCTCTTTTCTCGTCCCAGGCCACAGCTGCGTGACCTTGGGCAAGGCCCTTGCCCTTTCTGGGCTTGCTGCCTCATTTTTAAAATGAGGGTAAGGGGTTAAGATGGCTCGTTTCTTGTTAGTTTTTGAGGATTAAGTGAATTCATGTAAAGTGCCTAAAACATAGGAAATACCATATAGGTATTATTATTATTATGCCCATTATTTCCTGATCTATAAAGCAGGAGTGATAGGACCTCAGAGAGCTGCTTTAAAGCTGCAATAAATCAATTTCCATGAACAGCTTAGTATAGGCTCAGGCTCAAAAAGCCAGAGTGCTCAGCAATGCAATCGAGTCTCAGAGTTCAGTAGAAAAGGCCCAGTTTTGGTGTCAGACTTCGGTTTGAACCCGAGGCAGGCCCCGGATTTGGTGCCTTGCCTCTGAGCCTCTCCTTTCCTCATCTGGAAAATGGGGGATGTGTACTCAGGAACTGGCCTAATCATGACCAGCTTGGGCTCAGCCTCCACTTTTCTGCTCAGGACGGAGACGCTTACGGAAGCCACAGGGAAGCCACAGAGAGACAAAGATGGCCCGCCCGGGCAGCTGCTGGCATCTGCTGGGGCCCGCAGGAAGCAGCCCCAGCCTGGGAGCCCCCCAGCACAGGAAGAAGCAGTCCCCGTGTCACACACCCAGAAGCCAATCCCCCAGAGGCGGAGGAGGGGCAGGAAGGCGCGTCTCCTGGGCCCCACCGTGACACTTGGGGGGCATGAGTTTAGCCGCCAGAGACTGCAGGCCTTTGGCCTCAACCCCAAACGGCTGCACTTCCGCCAGCTGGCCCGGCAACGGAGGAAGCCACAGGGTCCCAAGAGCGGCCCCTGAGCTCCAGGGAGCAGGCAGGGGCCCTGGCGTTCCTCCCTTCTGTCGCACTCCTCATGCATGTCCCTCATGGACCGTGTGGACTCATGGGCAGAGAAGTCTTCCTGTCTCACAGATGTGGAAGCCGAGGCCTACCTAACAAGCTTCCCCCCCGCATCTCCCCTTGAGACACACCTCGGACCCCATCCCGCAGACGCTGGGCCAGCCACAGCCAGTCAAGTTAAACGGCTTTATTAGCCCCCAGTGGCCACAGTTCCCCCCACCACCCCTGGACTTCGGCAGGGTGGGAGCTTTGGGACCAGCGAGGGGCACAGGTGGTCCAGTGCAAACTACAGTACTTGAGTCAGGCCCTGAGTGGGTGTCTGGGAGCCCTCCCTCCCTGCCCTGTGCGGAGGGCCCAGCCGGCCGGAGAGAGGCATACTGGCTCTGCCCCTGTCGGGATGGCCCCCAGTTCCGAGGTTTCTTGGACTGGTCTCAGCTGCACTTGTCAAGGGGGTGAGAACGGGAAGACCCATCACCTCCAGATTTCAAGCTCCCATACCCAGCATGACATAAATAAAAAAATAAATAGTGTGCATCTTCTCCCCCAACCCCACCCGTTATAAAAACACAAAGTCCTCAGAGCTTGGGCGTTTGGCTTTGAGGAGCCGCCCCGTGCGAGGGAGCCGCAGTGTTGGCTGGGAGAGCTGGGAGCAGAGGTCGTCCAGGCTGTGGTCCTGAGCATGGCCCTCAGCTACGGTGAACATGGGGTAGCGCTCGGTGGCTGAGGAGGAGCTGAGGACCTGGCGGGAGGAGGGGGAGAGTGGCTTAGCCCCAAACCATATTCACTGTCCTACAGGTATAATTATCCTAATAGGTATATTTATCAGGTGCTTCCTGAGCTCAACTCTTATCCCTCCAGGGCGGTGACCCAGGCCAGCCAATCAGCACCTTCCATTCCCTGGCCACTGTGATGGGCACATGACCCAGGGTGACCAATGAAGAGCAACCCTAGGATTTTTGCTGCATCTTCTGGGAGTGTAGGGCTCCCTTTCCACTGAACAGGGAGGTGGGTGCCCAGAAAGGCCAGTGGCCACCCCTTGCCACTATAAGGGTGAGGCCCTGATGGGACAGTAGAACCGTGAGGTGGGGAGCTCATGGATGCAGCTGTCCTTCAAGCAATGATGTCCCTAACTTTTCATCTCCTGCCCTTCTTTAGGTCCAATCAGTCCTAGCCAGGCTTTTGTAGCTTGTGGGCAGAATAATAGTCTTGATTCCCCAGGTCTGCTGGACTCAAGGTCTCTCTTCCTCTTCTACCCCCTCACTGCCCCCTGCCCTCTGCCCTCCACCACTCCTGGCTCACCCTGGTCAGCTCTGAGCAGAGCGTCTCAAACTCCTTCTGGTCTCCAGCATAGAACCCCACTGTACAGCTTGGGTCCATCTTGGCGAAGGCCATCTTTCGGGGTGAGGTGCAATGGAAGGACTGGGGCATACAAATGAGGGAAGCTCAGGGCCCCGGCCTCCTCCACCTTCCCCAGCCCCACCCTAGGGATCTGACCCGGCTCACCTCCAGGGGGAAGTCAGCCTGACTGACATCCACAGTGGGCTGGCAGTAGTGGGGATCCAGGTAGAGCAGGAAGTCATCTGCAGGGGTGGAGGCGTGAGCGGGGCTGAGGAAGGGTAGGGTGGGGGGGCAGGATGGAGCGGGATGGGGCGGGCCTACCCTGATAGCCGATGAAGTACAGTGAATGCCGTGGCTTGCCCCCCATGATGCCCAGGCATAGCTCTGAACGCAGGAGCTCCTGCAGGGAGAAAAGCGGGTGGGGAGTATACTCCGGGCAGGTGCTGTCAAACAGGCCCTTGAGAAGCACTTAGCAAACCCCGCATGTGTGCAAACCCAGCCCCTTCTCATGGAGCTGACATTCCAGTGTAGGAGATGAATAAAGAACAAGACGAGTAAGTTCTGCCGTGTGTCACTAGGCAATAGCACTGGGAGAAGAATAAAGAAGGGAAAAGGGCTTTGCAATTTTAAGTAGGGGAGTCAGAAAGGCCTCACTGACAGGTGACATTGCAGCAAAGGCCCGAAGGAGGTAAGAAAGGGAGTTAGGAGTGCATCTCTGGGGAAAGAGCACTCCAAGCAGCTGGAACAGCGAGTGCAAAGGCCCTGAGGCCTGTGTGTTCTGAAAACAGTGAGGAGGTTCATGTGGTGGGGGCAGAGAGAAGTGGGAAGGAGAGTGGGGGCAGATGAGGTCAAGGCATGGGCAGGGGCATGGTACAAAGCCTTGCAGGTGTAGGGAGAACTTTGGCCTTTATTCTGAGTGAAAACACCCCAGGGTTTTTCCAGCCTTGCCATTCCTTTTGCCTGGAGCACTCTGGCTCCTCATCTGCCCTGGCTGGAGAGGGGCTTTCCTAGGCTGTAGCCAACCCCCTCTGCCCCTCGCAGTGTTAGTTTTCGTTCCTCTAGAATCTAAGGTTCAAATGCCACAGCTATCAGTTTGGTTTCAGACCCGCTGTCTGTCCTTCCCCCAGTAGAATGTCTCCTCCCAGAGGGCACGAACGTTTGCCTCTTCGCCCCTGAAACCCAGCAGCTGGGACAGCGTTTGGCACGTACTGGGTGCTCCCTAACTACTGGGTAACCAGATGGACGGATGAAGGAAGCAGGAACACCTGACCCAAGCTACAGAAGCCTGTGTGGCTCCCGGGGGAGGCTTAGTGGAACTTGGCCAAACCTACCTTCACACAGGGCACATACACGGGGTTGAGAGTCTCGCCGCCCAGCCGCACTGGCACCAAGATGACCACGGCCTTCCATTCGGCCGTGGGGTCCGGCCTGGCCACCAGGCGTGCCACATCTGCCTTGTACACTGGGAGGATGATGCAGCAGGTTACATTCTTACCCGCCCTTCGAGCCTCAGAGCGGGGCCCTCCACGTGCCCCTGTGACGTCGGAGGGTCCCACTCCTGTCATCAATGGAAACGGAGGACTTCCTCATGCCCCACCCACCCCAAACTCTACCCCCCGACAATTCCAGGGCCTCCGGGCAGGTGTAGACATCCCCGTTTTACAGAGCGGGTGACTGAGGCCCTGAGATTTAGATGAAGAACATAAAACCAGGAAGAGGCAGAGAGCCTTCCCCACAGCCCGGAGCACCTCCCCAGTTCCAGGCCTGCTTAGTCTTTACTTACTCAGCGTGTGAGTTTGCCAATATGGAAACGGGAGCTCCAAGCAGTCTGCCCCTCTGCTGAATGTCCCTGCGTGTCCCTCCTCCTCAAGTCCAATCTGCTGGTCTCCATTCTCCCACGTCCTCCCTTACTGCTAGGTAAGCCCCTTCCTGGCTCCCAGAAAAGTGGATTCAACCCTTCTGGAAACACAGCTGCTATGGTCAGAATGCTTGTGTCCCCCTAACATTCAGATGCTGAAATTCTAACCCCCAAAGTGACGGGGCCTTTGGGAGTGGACTAGGTCATGAGGGTGGAATCCTCATGAGTGGGATCAGTGCCTGTATAAGGCCCCAGAGAGCTTGCCGGCCCCCCATCATGTGAGAACACGGCAAAATGAACCAGGAAGTGCGTCCCCACCAGACACCGAATCTGCTGGTGCCTTGATCTTGGACTTCCCAGGCCCCAGAACTATGAGAAATAAGTTCCTATTATTTATAGGCCATTCCGTCTGTGGCATTTTTGGTATAGCAGCCCAAACGGACTAAGATAGTGACCATCTGTTAAAATCAAGTATCGCCCCAAACATCTACAATTTTATATAAAAATTCATAGGTTTTGTAGATTCTCTGACACCGATCCATTGAGGCTCCTATTAATGAAGACCCTATCTAAACTGATTTGGAGGAGGGGCGCCTGGGTGGCTCAGTCGGTTAAACGTCTGCCTTCAGCTCAGGTCATGATCCCAAGGTCCTAGGATCGAGCCCCATGTTGGGCGCTCTGCTCGGCAGGGAGCCTGCTTTTCCCTCTGCCTCTGCCTGCAGCTCCCCCTGCTTTTGCTCTCTCTCCCTCTCTCTGTCAAATAAACAAATAAAATTAAAAAAAAAAAGAAAGAAAGAAAGAAAGAAACTGATTTGGAGGATAGTGGGGAACAATAATAATAATAGCTAATATTTGGCGAACACTCACTATGTGACATGCCCTGCTCAAATGGTTTAACTTGTGTTATTTACTCACTTAATCCTTATAACAATCCTGTGAGGCAGAGAGCAGACTTCTGTACATGTTAGAACTGTTTACAGAGTAAGAGTAGACTGGACCTGAGAGAGGGAAGCCTTATGTCCTCTATTCTATCACTGGCAGAGAAACCCCTAACGTTTCCTCTGCTGGTTCCAGAGGCAGCGGAGGGGTCCTGAGCACCTCCCACTGTGTGCGCCTCGAATTCTTTCCAAGGCTTCCTCTGCCCCAGAACTCGTTTCAGCCTCTGAGAAGGTAGGTCCTCAGACGCAGCTGAGGTAGCGACTGGCTCAGGGTGAGAACTCTGGGACCTTGGTTTCCAGTCTCTTACCTGTGCAGTCCTGAGAAACATACACCACCAGGCGGGTGACCTCTGAGCAGCTCTCCACAGCTTTCCTGGGGGGGGAGAGGGAAGGCCTGAGTGCCTGGGGGAACCCAATGGCTCCCGTGTCCCCTGCAGCGGCCCTCACCTGAGTATGTGCGCCACCAGAGATGGCCCATACCAGTCCCCCGCCTTCTTGCCTGAGCTCTGCCCAAGCTCCACCAGCCGGTGTAGGCCGAAGGGGGCCTGGGGGTGGTCGGCGAACCAGGACACTATCTGCCGGTGTCGACGTTCCTGCTCCAGCTCAGGGGTGCCCCGGGCCCAGCGCGGGGGCATCCAGCGTGCAGGCCCACGGTAACGGTTGGGAGAGGCCAACCCTGATGGCTCAGAGGGGCCCGGGCCCGTGCCCTCGGCCCATGTCCAGTCTGGTGGGGATGGAGTACAGAGTCAAAGGGTGCTGGTGGGGGCGCCTGGGTGGCTCAGTCGTTAAGCGTCTGCCTTCGGCTCAGGTCATGATCCCAGGGTCCTGGGATCGAGTCCCACATCGGGCTCCCT